TTTACTTCAGGTATACTACATTACATGTATTTTTTTGTTGATTTTATTTGCAAATGGCTAACAGACAAAAAAAACATAAAGGTTTGCTTAAAGCCATGCTGAAATCTGTTGTTCATCAGTAAAATGAATGTTTAAACACGAAAAAGATAGCGTTGGTTAAATGACTAATGTGGTCAAATGCATCATGTTTCGCCTAAATGCACATATTAAAATTCATATTAAAATTTAAATTGTATTAAAATTAAAAAACACGCATTTATTCAAATAATGATTTTTTAACTTCTAATCAAATATGTTCTTCTGAATTGGAATAAATTTTGAAATATTCTGCTAAAATAAGAAATAAAATGTCTGTAAACTACAAAAAGATATGAATAAGTGATAACAATCTACTTACTTGTCTTTTCCCGGTAAATTATAATCTCATATTTTGAATATTTTTTATTAAATACTGTTGAAGTAGAACAATTGTAAAGAATTTTAATAAAAATCCTCCTAAAGTAACTTAATTTTCGAACAATTATAATAAATTCATATTAAATTTTTGTTTACTTAACTATTACTGTAACTAGTTATATGTAAACTATTTCATTTCTTTCAGTTAATTTTCAAAATTATTTTTAAATAATTGATCTGAAATCTAATTTTTTGTCTCGTGAACGTCTGCATGCTTAGTTGAAAATACTTCATTATGATTTAAAGGATCTAAATGAATGTTATTTGATAATAAGAGAAGAAAAAGTATACTATAGAGAAAATATCATTTTAAGAAAATTTCAGTTAAAATTTATAAAAATGCTTTTCAACTTGGCATTTTCAACCAAATGTGCATTATATCGATGGACTTTTTACATATTATCATAGATTGAATAAATAACACTAAATATATGATATACAATATAGTAAGGATGAGAAAAACGTAGGAAGCATCAAATTATTCAGACATCAGAAGTTTTTATTTTTCCAACTGTTGAAAAAATAAAAATTTAATAGCTTGTTATCCATCAATTGTACACAAAATTTAAAAATTTATTATTCCAGTTTATTTTTTCCAACAACTGCGCACAAAACCTTCTTCTCATGAAAGAATTAGCAATGTTTCATTACATAAACAGATAAAAATGTTACACAATAAAAATCTTTCCCATTAACTGATTTTGGGGTCCAAAAAGCCCAAAATAATTTGTTATATCTTCGCAAGTATGCTTCAAAACAAAGAGATTTAGTGAAATAATTAAAAAGAGCAACGTATAAACTTTGAACACTTTTTTGATCAAATTAGTGCATAAACGAAGTAAAATTTTAATTCCTAAAATGTAACAAAATTATTTGAATTCAAGAAATAGTTAAAATTTTTCTTTAAATTAAATATTTAGAGTTCAAATAAAATAATGATTAACTATTTTAGTTAGTTCAATTAACGAATGTTATGGTAAACAAAGATTGTAATATATATAGTTTAATGAAAAAAGAAAGCTTTTTTTATAGGCGTGTGTTATATTTGTTGCTCAATGATTAACATAATGATGCTAAGAGGGCTTTATTAAGTTGAAAGTGCTATGTCATGCTGAGCAATGAGGTATATATTTAGTTTAGGGCTAATGATGGTTATCGATAGTTATTTTACTTTAAATCGACATGTTTCAACAAAAAAAAGGCTAATTACAAACGTCTGTTTTAAGATAA